TGTTTTTAATAATTGTCCCATGAAAACATCAACTAAGATTCTAGGTGCCAGGCTGCATAACCTTCATAGATGGAAGTTTCTGCTCATGTGAGAGGACTGATTGATCAACCAGTCTTGACCAGGGTGGGGGTGGGATTGGGAGTTCCAGACTTAAACGTGGGGGTCTCATTCTCCAGTACTTAGAGAGCAAACATAGCATCCTATCTGAATATTGTCCTGATTCTCCCTCAGAATTAAAAATGACTGTCACATGTGTCCTCTTTTTCAAGGTTCCTAGGACTTCTGTCCTATGATACAAATTGGAATTGAAATTGAAAGAGAACACACATAGATCATTTAAACGCTGAAAGATTTGGCCCAGAGTAAAATATTTGACAAACAGTGACCACTTATAAGAGTTCACCCAAATGAATTAAACCAAGGTTCAATTTAAAATCAGAAAAAGACACAGAAGAAAGAACCTGTGAAGAAGAATGCATTTGTTTTTTATCATTGACTTCATAGGATTTATCATTGACTTCATGAACAGATACCATATTGAATGTGGATTAACACTCATATAATTGAATCCTTCTTTATTATGGGCGGTAGTTAACAATGCCTATTAGTTTCCTTGTCGGCAAATTGTGCATTTTCCCTACGAGGTAATAAAAGGGTGGACATCTTAAAAATTATAAATATTTGAGAACTCACCACATACAGGGCACTCTGTTGATGCACATTATGCATATTCACTTAATATACCAGCAGCCCCATAAGATAGCTACTTTTGTCTCCATCTTATAGAGTTTGCTATGGCAGAAAGAAGTTAAAAAGCTCCCAGAGTCACCAAGCAGTCTGATGCCACAGCCTAACACTTAATTACATCTACTGTTTCTGAAAATAAAAGCTAAATGCTTACTTATAAGGATGATTATAAATAAGTTAAATGCAGTTTACTACCAGTTTTTCACATACCTGTTTGAGGCCCTTAGCCATGGCTGGTGTTTCCTTTCAATTTCCCACTTACAAGCCTTAGGCTGTGACTTCTCAGTATGTCCTGACTTCTCAGTATATCTTCTTGAATAAACTTTCTTTGAGGAGGGAATGATAGGTGACATTAGTAATTTTTTATTTTACATTTTGTTTTCATTTATATACTACATACATTATATATTTATGTCTTCTAACAATATTCATTAAGAAATAGCACCACATCTGATTATGGGAAGTGAAGTCTGAATGTTCTGTGTACATATTATCAATTACCAATCAATTTCCTCTCATAAGGACTTGTCATTCGTCAAGAAATACACAAAAATATTTGTTAAAAAAATTCGGGGGGACACTCCTGGGTGGCACAGTCAGTTGAGCTTCTAACTTGGCTTCCAGTTTAGGTCATGATCTAGGGGTCATGAGTCCGAGGCTCCATACTCAGCAGGGAGTCTGCTTAGAGTTTCTCTCTCCCTCTGCCCTTCCCCCTTCCCTTCCCTCCCTCTCTCTCAAATAAGTGAATAAATCTTTTTTAAAAAGCAAAACAAAACGAAGGACACCTGAGTAGCTCAGTTGGTTCAGCATCCAGCTCTTGATCTCAGCTCAAGTCTTGATCTCAGGGTTACGAGTTCAAGCCTAGTGGTGGGCTCCATTCTAGGCACTGAGTCTACTTAAAAACAAACCCAAAATCTAAAGATGGCTCTATAGTCTAAATAACCAATATTGAAATAGATTCTACTGTTTAAAGCCAATTTAACAACCTCTCTGAGGTAAAATCAAGACAGATGACAGACCGAGGAAACAATTTTCCAATTGGTATAATAAAGGCTAATCTCTCTAATATATTTTTTAAAATACAATTATAAAGCGATAGATCAACAACTTAGTGTAAAAATGGGCAATGGGAGGAATATATAGCCCACAGAAAATAAAGTATAAATGGCCCTTTACAACATAGGAGAAAGGCCCTATTAAGAAAATTGCTTGCAACCAGAATATGTAAAGAACCACAACTCAATAATAAAAAGACAACCAATCTAACTAAAATAGCGGGCAAAGTATTATAATGGTTACTTCACCAAAGAAGTTAAAAAAAAAAAAAGAGCTAAAAAAGCACATGAAAGGATGCTCAATGTCATTAGTCATTACGGAAATGTAAATTAAAACCACAGGATACTACTAACACCTCCTGGGATGGTTCAAGTTAAACAACTGACAGTAACAAGGTTCCGTGAGGATGTGGAGCAACCGGGACTCATCCGCTGCTGGGAGGAGTGGTCAAAGATGCATCACGTTGGAAATTGTTTTGGCTGCCTCTTCTAAAGTTTTAAACCACATTTTGCCACACAACCCAGCAATTCCACCCCTCAGTATTTACCCAAGAGAATTGAAAGCACAATCATGCAGAGACCTGTATACAGATTTTCATTAGCGGTCTTAGTCATCCTAGCCAACCTACTGGAAATAACACCAGTGGCTTCAACTGGTGAGTGGATACACGAATTGTGATGTCCGTGCGATGGAATTCTACTCAGAAATGACAAGGAACAAGCTACTAATACAACAGCATGGTGATTCTCAGAAAGTCTTATGCCAAAGACCAAAAGCTACAGAATGTATGATTCTGTTTATACTACATTCTAGAGAAGGCAAAAAGAGGGACAGAAAACAGATCAGTGGTGGTTTGGGGGTGACAGGAGTGGGTGGACTGCAGAGGGCACGAGGAGCCCTTTGGGGTGATCGAGATACTCTACATCTTGACGAGGTGCTGGTTACATAAGTAAGTGTGTACATTTGTTAAAACCCACCAAGCTGCGTATCTAAGAGTGAATGGTGTGTATATATCATACCACAACACTCCTACTTTTTTAAAAAAAAAAGTTCCAAAAAAAAAAAAAGCTCCTCACTTAAGCATTGTGAGGATATATACAAATAATGATTTTTAAAAATCACATACAGAAAGTAATTTTCTTTTCTTTCCTTTTTCTCCAAATAGGCAACATTTCACACTCCTTTTACTCACCTGGGCCAAAGTCCAGAAGGATGTTCCTCTTATACTTTTCCCAAGATAATGGGCCAAGCCAAGGTAGCTTTTGGAAACCTTAAGAATAAGTTGTAATAAGTAACTTCTGGGGGCGCCTGGGTGGCTCAGTCGGTTAAGCATCTGGGGATTCTTGATTTCGACTCGGGTCATGATCTCAGGGTCCTGGGATCCAGCCCCATGTCGCGCACCATGCTCAGTGGGAGTTTGCTTGAGGATTTTCTCTCCCTCTCCCCCTCCCCACTTGCACTCTTTCAAGTAAATAAATAAATCTTTTTTAAAAAATAAGTAACCTCTGTGCCAAAAGCAATTCTGTATTCTCTTCTTTTCCTTGACAATACAGACAGAAGAAGAGTGAGTTATTTGCTCCTCAACTCTAAAAATGTCAAGTATAGAAGAGCTAGGCTATGGGAAATATCTAATATGAGGAAAATTAGAAACTCTCCACAACTCCTCAAACAAAGATCTCTTGCAGCTGGGTGCCTGGTGCCTCATCCCCCACTGCTGTGTGGTATTAGTCATTAAAGGACCAGGGCTGGGGCACCTGGGTGGCTCAGTGTTTGGGCATCTGCCTTTGGCTCGGGTCGTCATCCCAGGGTCCTGGGATCAAGCCCCATGCCTGGCTCTGTGCTCAGCAGGGAGCCTGCTTCTCCCTCTCCCTCTGCTTCTCACCGTGCTTGTGTTCTCTTTCTTTATCAAATAAATAAAATCTTTAAAAAAAAAAAAAGGCCATGAGGAAACTTCCCTCTGTTTCCTAAAAGCCCCTAGTTCTGAGGTTAACTGACTTGTGTATCATTAAGTTAGTGTCTTAATCTTGCTTTTCTTTGCAGGCAGCAGAGATGCTCATGTTTGGAAAGAAGTTAACAGCTAGAGAAGCCTGTGCTCAAGGACTTGTTACTGAAGTTTTTCCCGATAGCACTTTTCAGAAAGAAGTTTGGACCAGGCTGAAAGCATATTCAAAACTCCCCCGAAATGTTAGTGTTGGTTTTTGGTTTTTGGTTTTGGTTTTGTTTTTTCCTAGTAGAAATGGAAATAATTTCTTTGCCTTAAGAAAATAAGCATTTTAAAAAACAAGGTATACCTTGGTGGGCTTTAAGCACATCTCAATTTGAGATTAAAAATAACTGTTACAGAAAAAAAAATAACTGTTACAATGTTAGAAGTACTGATTTTCATTAAAGTTCTCAAATAAGCAGTTCATTTTTCTGATATGTATGAAGGCAGAGGGGCGGTCCTTTCTGGAGGTAGCTTTGAGGAGAATGATAAGCCGTGTGTGCCGAGCACTTTCATTCTTGAATCCAGATGAGAAGCCAGATAGGTTGACTTTTAGGAGATTCTTACCATGTATCACTTTCATTTTTACATGTGATAAACTCGTGACTAACTGCTCTGGTATTATTTCTGCTCAAAATGTGGTCCAGGAACCAGCAGCTTTAGCATCTGTCTGGGGCTTTTTAGAAATGTCTTACCCCAGGCCCTATCCCGCATCTCCCGAGGAGGTCTGTATGCACATTAAAGTTTGAGAAGCACTGCCCAACGTTACACGTACATCTGAAGGCACAACAGAATTACATGATCAATGAGAAACAAAAATCAGAACTATCGAATAATCCCACTCCCGTTAGAATGCCTCTTGACCTCACTGTTGGTTTTGTGTTTTCAGGCCTTGCATATTTCAAAACAGAGCATCAGAAATCTTGAGAAAGAAAAGCTACATGCTGTTAACGCAGAAGAAAACAGCGTCCTCCAGGAAAGGTGGCTGTCAGACGAATGCATGAATGCAGTCATGAGCTTCTTTTCCCGGAAGGCCAAACTGTGAAGCCAATTCTAGAAGAGTTAAGCATTTCAAAGAATGGGATATGCTATCATTTCTGATTTCTAATTCTTGAACCGTGCCTTTCTTCAGTGCTAAAATACCACTTATGATTATCATATACCACTAGCACAAATTATGTACACCAAAAAAAATAAAAAATAAAAAATAAATTTAAAAAATTATGTCAACGAGCTTTAAGAATTTACATAGGATTTCAGTCATAGGGAGTCTTACATCTTTCGACATGAATCGCTGTTGCCAGGAACACTGAAACATTGTGCCAGGGGCCCTGCTTTGAAAAGCGTTCACAGCATTACAGGCTGAAATCATGTCTTCAAACACCACGATGGCACTTTGCCGTCCACAGAGGGTGACTGACTTAATTGGCCCAAACACGGACAGCCTCTGGATTACTGACTGAAGGTCTTCGGTGGGTTGCATGTTTTTTTTCAACCATCTAGCAAAGGACCAAATGGAGCAGTAGTAGTATTAGAAAACAAACACACACAAAAAAAGGATAAAGAATCTTTGTTTCATTTCCCCCGTAATTTAATAAAAGGGCTTGAAGGGAAAATTGGGTTATTTCCCTGGAAATAAAAGCAGTGTTCTGGATCAGTTATTATATACTTATTTATCACATAGTCTTTATTCCTTTTTAAAAAAAATAGACTTTATTTATTTATTTGAGAGAGAGCGCGAGCAGGAGGCAGGGGCAGAGGGAGAGGGAGAGGAAGAAGCAGGCTCCCCACTGAACGAGGAGCCTGACTCAAAACTTGATCCCAGGACTCTGAGATCATGACCTGAGCTGAAGGCAGACACTTAATTGAGCCACCCCGGCGCCCCTACACCTACATAATCATTCTTGTTTAATGTGGTATGTTCTAAAAGGCATGCCTGCAAGCTGCCTTAACTGTCTTCGCAATTTTCTGTTTTGATGAGTGCCATATATGTTAATTGACAAAGACAAGGGCGTAATTCCAGTGGCTACCAAACTGGCATGGAATAATTTGCTCTTCTAGATACCCTCCTTCCTTTTCAATCTTTTCCTTCAAGCATCAGCATCCAGGTAGCCAACCCACTGAACCTATTACTTTTTAGGACTTCATTTTTTCACTCCTAGTAACTGTAATCCAAATTTTTAGTCTTACAGAAAATATATGAATAGTAGTAGCCATGAATGTTTATTGAGCACTTACTGTTCATTACTAGCATTCAATGGCCATCATCCCATTTTATCCTCAAAAAGCAATGCCAGAAATTGAAAATGAGGTAGGTACTGTCGCTACTACCTTTGTACAAGTAGGGATGTAGGGGCACAGGGATTTAAGTAGCTTTGGCAGAGTCCAACTCCCAGCAAGTTTTGGCAGAGTTCCAGTTCCTGTATGTTACCCTGAGCCAGCCATTGCCTACCCTCCCATTCATTTCAGCTAAAAGCTCTGGGCACTACTTGCAAATGCCGAAATTGAAAGCAGATAGATTGTGCTAGGGCATCAAAACACAGAGAAGCAACTGCACAGGGAGTGTCTCAGATTGTGGGAAATGCAGAAACAGTTGCTGGGCTCTCCTGAAAGTGTGACTTCCACCTCAAAGGGAGACCCCCATTAAGCAGGGCTGTGGTGGCCACAGTGCAGAGGGCCAAATAAAACTTGAGATAAAAACATCTTTCTAACCAGGAAAAGGGGGATAGAGAATAAGGACAACCCCAGAGCAGAGAGAGAGAGAGATGTTCCCTAACCCTGAACGAACACACGCGGGTCTCGGGTTCATGAGACCAACATACCAACAGAGTAAAATCTTTGAAAACTGAACTGGTATTTTTTTAAAGATTTTATTTATTTATTCATGAGACACACACACAGAGGCAGAGACACAGGCAGAGGGAGAAGCAGGCTCCATGCAGGGAGCCCGACGTGGGACTCGATCCCAGATCTCCAGGATCACGACCTGGGCCGAAGGCAGCACCAAACCGCTGAGCCACCCGGGCTGCCCTGAACTGATATTTTAACCACCACCCAAACAAGCTCCAGATGGTGTCTGTAGTCTGAACCTTTAGCAGGTTGATTACTTGATAAAAACAGAAACAGCAACATTCTCCAGACAACTGTAACAGGGCCCACAAAAACAATATTCTCCAGATAATGTCAGCAGGACCCTGGATCCATGCAACCCAATGTTCACATTGTCCGTGGTACAATCTGAAATGACTTGACATGCAAAACCCGCGAAAATGTGAACACTGGGGTGAAATAAAAACACAGGCCAATCCTGAGATGATCTGGATGGGATTGTCATATGAGGACTTTAAAAGTATATTTTCATGAGTGTTCCACACAGTAAAGCACACTTGAAATGATTAAAATGATATGGTTCTTCACAGAAACACAAACTACAAAAGAAGTACCAAATACAAAATGTAGAACAGAAAATCTGAAATTAAAAATGATTCTCTGCAGGGTCTCAATAGCAGACTTGATGACAAAGGAAGGAGTCAATAAACTTGGAAGATAAATCTACAAAAATTAATGTGAAAAACAAGAAAATACTAGGCAAAGATGAATATACCATGACATCCACAAGATACTGAACTAGGAAGTCCTAGGGCCTCATTTCTCCACAGAAACATCAAATACACAACTACAGAAACTAAACAGCTATGGCAAACAAGTGAATGTCCAACAAAGAAAAATCACGTTGAAAATTAGAGGAAATCATGTGATGTTCTTACTTGCCCTTGTACCACTCACTACCCTACATGGTGTGGTTGGAAGAAATTTGCCTAATTCCTGGCTCCCTCCCATGGGATAGAAGGAGCAGAGTGGAACTTGCTTGCAGCCTTCTGGCCTGTCTGTGGGCTGCCTGAGGAACTGTTTGCTGTGTCGCCTGACTCACAGCTCAGAAGGGAAATGTTGATATAATTTGGATGTGAGACAAGAAACCATGAGAGGCAGTGGCACACAATGAAACACATGAAAAGTATGAGCTGACTGCAGACCTATGGATGCAGGGAAGGAGATCATCAAACAGGAATCCAGGGGCACCTGGGTGGCTCAGCCTGTTAAGAGGCTGACTTAGCTCAGGTTATGATACCAGAATCCCAGGATCAAACCCCACATCAGGCTTCCCACTAAGAGGGAAGTCTGCTGCTCCCTATGACCCAATCCCCCCTTATGCACTGTCTTTCTCACACTCTCAAATAAATATAAAACCTTTCAACAAACAAACAAACAAACACAGGAATCCAATAGAACACTTAAGGCACTGAGAAGAAGCCAGAGACTCTTCAGGAAATTAAGACATTTAAGAGGAGCCGAGGGAAAATTAAAAAAGAAAAACAAACAAACAAACACATAGACCTAGACAGAAAGCATGACCAGAAAAGACATGAGAGGGCCCAGGCTGATCTGAAGAGTCACAGGCCCACTCATTATCTTAGGGGCTTGTTTTTGCAAAAATGCTCAATTTTCAACAAAGGGTCATAAGGTATGCAAGGGAACAAAAACATGGCCCATTCAAAGGAGGAAAAAGTTAAGAAACAATTTTTTTAAAAAGGCATCTGATCTACTAGACAAGAACTTTAAAACAAATGTCAAATACCTCAAAAGAGCTAAAGATAAACATGAACAAAGAGCTAAAGGACATCAGGGAAACAGTATGTGAAGAAAATAAGAGTGTCAACAAAGAGATGCAATTTTTATTTTTCTTAAACCAAACAAATTTTGGAGCTGAAAATGACAACTAAATGGAGACATTTGCTAGAGCATTCAATAGCAGCTTCAAGCAAGTGGAAGAAAAATCAGCAAACTTAAAAAGAGGTCATTTGAAATGATCAAGTTTGAAGAGCAAAAAGAAGAAAAAATGAAGAAAAGTGAATAGAGCCTAAAAGACTTACGGGACAGACTCCATCAAGCCGACCAATGTAATCACAAGGGGAGTTCCCAGCAGAGAAAGAGTAGTGAGGTGGGAGGAGGAGAGAAAGGGACCGGGTGATTATTTGGAAAAAAAAAAAGAATGGCTAAAATTGAGGAAAGATGTGGATATACAAATCCAAGAAGTTCAATGAACCATCAGTAGGATAAACACAAAGAGACCTACAGTGAGACACATAAACAGATCTGGCAAAGACAAAAAGTGAATCTTGAAAGCAGCAAGAGAAAAGCAATTCATCACATAAAGTGATCTCCAGTACGATTATTAGCAGATTTCTCACCAAAAACCTTGCAGTCCAGAAGGCAGTTAGGATGATATATTAAAATACTGGAAAACCAAACCAAACCAACAATTATCAAATGATAGCTCTACATCTGGCAAAACTACCTGTCAAAGATGAGGGCAAAATTTAAGACATTCCTATATGAAAACTGGGGGTGTTCATTACCAGTATCTGCCCCCCAAAAGAAATACTAAATAGTGTCCAAGTTGAAATGAAAGGATACTAGTAACCCAAAGCCACTTGAAAATATAAAGTTCTCCAGTGAAGGTAAATACATACACATATATAAAAGCAGTATTTTTGTAATTTTGGTTTGCAGCTCCACTTTTTATTTTATCTAGGATTTAGAAGACAAATACCTGAGATGTAATTATAAATCTATGTTAATGGGTGTGTAATATATCAAAGTAATTTGTGACATCAATAACTAAGTGGAGGGTTGGAGCAGCCATTACAATTAAGTTGGTAATAATTTAAGATACTTGTTATAGATTATAGATACAGATATAATAAATATATAGGGGTGCCTGGGTGGCTCAGTCAGTTAAGTGTCTGCCTTTGGCTCAGGTATGATCCTGGGTCCTTGGATCGAGCCCCATGTTGGGCTCCCTGCTCAATGGGGAGTCTGCTTCTTCTCCTGCCTGCTCCTGCACACTCCCTCTCTCTCTCAAATAGATAAAATATTTTTTTGAAAATAATAACATATATAGTTAATAATCTGTGATATAATCTGTAATCTAGATTTTTATAACTATAGGATGTTATATGTAATCCCCATGGTAACCACACACACACACAACACACACACACACACACACACACACACAAACCAGTAGAAGATACACAAAAAGAAATGAAAAGAGAACCAAAATGTGTTGGTACAAGAATCAACTAAGCACAAAAACAAAAAACAAACAAAAAAACAAACAAACAAACAAAAAAAACCAAAAAGAAATCAACTAAGCACAAAGTGAAGCAGTAATGGAGGAAATGAGGGACAACAAAAATATGTAAAACATAAAACAACATGGCCAAATAAGTACTTCCCTACTAGTAATTACTTCAAATGTAAATGGATTAAACTCCAAAAACCATAGACTGAAAGAACGGATGATAAAACCAGTCAGGATTCAATTACATAATGCCCAGAAGAGTCTCACTTTAGATTTAGGGACATACGTGGCTTAGAAATGAAAGGATGAAAAAAATAATCCTTGCAAATAGCAAAAAAGAACAAGGGTGCCTATGCTAATATCAGACAAAGGAGACTAAAAAACTCCTACAAGAGATAAAGACATAATGGTAAAAGGGTCAATACAGCAAGAAGATAGAACAGTTATAAGCATTTATATGCCAAATATTAGGCCTCCAATAAATAGCAATGCCATATGATATATAATAATAATATTTATATGTATATATATCTACACGATGTGCCGTATGGCATAGGGCAGACCTATAAACAATGGAATAGAGAATTCAGAATAAAAGTTTGCGTACACGATCAAACGTTGTTGTTGCTAATGGTGAAATGATTTGACAAGGGTACCAAGACCATTCAATAGGGAAAGGATGATCTTTCCAGTAAATGGAGTTTTTTGTTTGGGTGAAACAAAATGTGTTATAGACACACAGGGAACAGCATGCAGCCTTTAGAAGGAAGGAACTTTTGTCACAGGCTACGATGTGGGTGAACCTTGAAAACACGCTCACTGAAATAAGCCAGACACGAAAGGACAAGTACCGTACGGTTTTACTCATTTTAGGTGTCTAGATTAGGCAAAGCCGTAGAGACAGAAAGTAAAATAGTGTTTGCCAGGGGCCAGAGGGATGAGGGAACAGGGGGTTAGTGTTCAATGGAGACAGAGTTTCAGTCTGGGAAGATGGAAAATTCTGGAGATGGATGGTGGTGATGGTTTACACAACAACGTGCGTGTACTTAACGCCACTGAACTGCACACTAAAAAACATGGGAAAAATAGAAAATTTTGTGTTAGGTACATTCTACCTAAATGTAGGTAGAATTGATATTGATAAAAATATTTTTAAAACAACAATATTTTAAAAATATTTTTAAAAACAACACAATTCACCATATTAGTGGAAAAAATAAATTTGATCAACTTGATGGATATAGAGAAATCATTTGACAAAACTCAGTGTCCATTATGAGAAAACTAAGCAAACCAGCAATGGTTATGGACTTCTTCAAACTGATAAAAGTAACCTGCAAAAGCCAATAGCCAACAGAATACTGAATTATTTTCCCCTGACAGTAAGAACAAGTAAAGGACGCCTGCTTTTACCAGTCTTAGCTCTAAAGGATACCAAATGAATGTTTGTGGAAGAAAATGTGAATAAATATGTCATGTTTTATGTTTTAACAATCTCTGGCTATCTTTTCGGAAGCCAAACAAAGTAGGTTGTAAATTAAAATATGTTAGTTCATGTCAAGACATTTATGGCCTGAAACTGAGGTGTATACACTTTCCATGATTGTGAAATTGCTTTTTCTTCTTTTGTTTTTTTATAGCCCTCCAAAGTGTGGTCAAATAATCTTAACTCAAGTAATCAGGAATCATCACTTAAAATAATTTATACCCGTAATCTGGGTACAAATGTCATGCCTTGCATTGTCCAAGAAGAAAATACCACAGTGCGAATTATTTTATAACGTATCTTTGGCTTCTTTGAATATGGATTTTAAGCCAAATTGCCAAGGTATGCCACTGAGGATACAGGGGGTGGGGGTGGGGGCAAGTAAACAAGGAAATTATTTCCATAGAACAATGACCCCAGTGGGAGTTTCCAGTACAGGCAAAGTCATGAGCTGGAAATCTCTCCCTGTGTCTGTTACCTCGTAAGTGCTAAGTAGAAATTCTTTATTAGATAAGGTACAGCAACACATGCAGGGATACTAAAGAAACAAATATGGAAACATCATCTGTCTGGCATAATTAGGGAAAGAAGCAGACCAGCAGAGATAATTTGCCAAGGAACTGAAGCTTGTAACTTGTTGGGGGTTTTGTTTGTTTAAGAGGGAGCATGTGCACATGAAGGGGGAGGGACAGAGAGAAAGAGAGAGAGAGAGAATCCTAAGCAGGTTCCACAGCCAGTGCAGTGCACAGCCCAATACGGGGCTTGATCTCAGGACCCCGAGATCATGACTCCAGTCAAAATCAGTAGCCAGATGCTTAACCAACTGAGCCACCCAGCTGCTCCCAAAGCTTATAATTTTTAGTGTCAGAACCCAAGCAATTCCATGATCCCACTGTTACCACCTGGTCTGAGGCCCACCATTCCTCTTCTGCTTCCACTCTTGCTCCCCTACGGGCCAGGGAGGTTTCAGATCTGATTGCATCACCCCTCTTTCCAAGACCATGAAACGGCTCCCATTTCTATCAGTCGACTACACATAAAGCCAAGTTTCTATTATTTATGCTACTCTGTCCTAGGCCCCAGGTCGTGCTGGGGTGAGCTGGTGCTTCCTGACTCATGCAGCATGAAAGTGCCACAGCTCCATGAGTGGGTCCCTCCAAGAATCCCATTCCAGCCTTGTTAGATCTCTGCTCACACCTGCCCCTGTCTCCCTGAGTTTTCTCTCACTGAGGGCTCCTCCTGACACCTGGGTGTGTGAAGATGGGGCTTATGTGCTCTTATATATAGCAAGACTTGTCTTCATGCTTACCATATACCTCAAAAAGGACACGAAGTCATTTTTTTAGCTAAGGCGTAAAAAGAGGGTGTCTGGACACCCTGTATATTTCTCAATATGTTGGTGGCAGACAAAAATTAGACACATACCTGACAACTATGGTTGACATTGGAGGCTCCTCCATTTTTTTTTTCCATAAATGGCATTTCTTCCACCCACGATTTGCATTGTTGATGGATTTTCTTCTCCACAGGGGTATGCTACTTGGCTTTGGGGTCGCATTAATCTCTTTTGGAAGTTGATGTCTTGCTAAGAGCCTTTCTAAGCCAGAGAATTCAGGATTCTGACCTGGTAAGGGAATAAACATTCGTGCGATTTGGTGTGCCTTTCCATCTTTGCATAGCAAGAGTCACATGGCCCTGATTTGAGAAAGAATATCTATGCTGCCTCGTAATTGCTATTGAGCTCTATGATTCCTTCACCACAAAAATATTGCCGAGCAACACTTAGGCCCTAGCCTGGTCCTGGACACCTAACAGACGCACAGCAAATGAATGAGTGAATGAACAAACAACCAATGTGCTGCCGCCGCCATAAATACTGAAAGCTATTTAAGCAATTTGTGCCTGATTCTCAAATTAATGGCGATTTGCTCTACAATTACTTTTATCTTCAGAGATATTAACCAGACTCTGCATTGACATCACATCCACTGCTTCACATGGGCCTCATTTGGCCTCTGACCAAATCGCTCATCTCAACGGCACAGAGAGCTTGTGCCAGAATGTAATTCAATAGACTGCTTCCTCCATCAAAATAGTCCTGGTACCAGACGGAAGGAAGAGAGGGAAGGAGGGAGGGAAAGAAAGGGAGTCAGTAGAACTACATGGTGGATTTGGTGACGTAGCTGATTTACACTGAAGTGTAAGCTTCTCTCTCTGCCAGCTGGTAACGGTTTGAGAACCAAAAGCCAGTGTGCAGGCTACACTACGCATGGCTCTGAAATCCATCTGGGAGCAGTAGAAACTAAGAGCACGGTCATTGACCTAATACAGGATGAGGGCTGAGCCCCAGTGATTCAGGGGGACCCTGCGTAGAACTTAGATCAGAACCCATCCAGCCTCCCTTGTTTCTCAGACTGAAACACTGATGGTCCCTCCCACGCAGGCTAATTGGCACGGACCACAAAGAACCAAAAAGTGACCCAAGAGGCCATAGCTCGGCTATCTCACTAGATGATGTAATGACTAATAGATTGATCCTTAGAGGCCTGAAAATCCTTCCAAGTGACCAGGGCTGGAATCTGGGGCTGCTGCCCAGGGGTCTCAGGCCTGGCGCAGCCAGCTTCCTCGTACTGCTCTTAGAAGCAGTGTATTAGCTCAGGATCCCACAGCTGGGCCCCCAGAAGCTCTCACAGGCACTGGCATGATAGGGGTAGCATATGGTTTGCTTTGATTGTCAGAATTGCAAAGTCAATATTAAACTGAATTAATTAACCCAATTCAGTATTTGATGACATCCAGCTAAAAATATTTTTTTTCATCTTGAATGAATTGTTCTTTATTGTCTTGTATACACATATTTTGGTATTGTAAACTGCCTCAAATCCTTTCTGTAAGCAAACAGGGATAAACCAGAAAGAGAGAAGAACATTTTAAAAATACCACAAATTCTCATATTCTCCAGGATTTAGTACTGGGCACCAAAATGAGATAAAAACTCAGAATTCACTTTGAATATTTAACTAGGTCTTACTGATGGCTTCCTTTGAAAATAAAAGCAAGTTCCCAGTTTCGAAAGAAAGCACAAAAACTACAGGGATCCCTCAATAAATTATTAGAAGTAGGGGCTCCTGGGTGACTCAGTCAGAAGAAGAGCATGTGACTCTTGATCTCAGGGTTGTAAGTCTGAGCCCCATGTTGGGTGTAGCGATTAGATGACTTAAATAAAACTTTTTTAAAAAAGAAATTATTGGAAGTATAATAATATTGATTATAAATTCATAAGTGAAATTTTACCTAAAATTACCTAAAATTTACCTAAATTTTGGACTGTGGGCTGCTTGGATGGTTTTTGTATTTCTTATTTTTATTTTTTTTAAGATTTTATTTATTAGAGAGAGAGAGAATAAGTGAAAGAGAGAGAGCATGAGTCTGCAGAGGGAGAGGCAGGCTCTCTACTGAGCCAGATGTAGGATTCGATCCTGGGACCCTGGGATCATGACCTGAGCCAAAGGTCAACGCTTAACCAACTGAGCCACCCAGGTGATCCTGTATTTCATATTTTAATGTATAGAATGCAATACATGTTAGATGGGTGGATGGATGGACAGAAGAATTGGCGGATGAATTAGTAATCACGTTACAAATCAGCATAGATCAAGTACACAAGTACCTGAGCCAAGTTCACAAGCCAGTGTGTGTGTGTGTGTGTGTGTGTGTGTTTGTGTGTGTGTGTGTGTGTTTACCAGAGGCAGTAAAAATAGGTAACTGACAACTTCAAATTTTAAAATGATTTGTTGCTTTTGCACCATCTAATGGTCTTCTTTAATGTGCACATGGGAAGTCATGGATTTGGTGGCCATCAGTGGCCGGCCGGCGTGTGAACCGTACACACACACTGCTTCTAGAGTTGCCCCCACTGGTCTCTCCCCTGAGTCCCCTTACTCCGTGGAAATCACTCTTCCTGTCTGCCCTGCTTCTCTCTGCATCCAATTAAGCAACCTCCCAAATGTACCTGGGGAACAGGGGCAGGGAAGCCATGAATTAACCAAGAGAGGTATCTTCTTAAGCATGAAAAACAACATACCAAAGCTTTAAACTTCCTCCCATTTTCTACTTTTTTGGTTTGGTGCCAGTCATTGAAAGAACTGGTTTGGAGAATGTATTAAACGTCACAAAACCAATACTAAAGCCATCTCAGGATAGCTCCTTACACCACTGTGCTGGGACCGGGGCTGGGAGGAGGAAGGTGGCCTCTCCCAGAGGCTTGCGATGTTTGGGGGGCAGTTATCTGAGTACGGTAGATCTAAATGCATATGGTATAATGGATCCTCATTTCTCATTTTATGTTGTTCGCATGATTTAACATCCTATTATTTAAAATTCAAGAAAAAAAAACCACCCTGTGGTTTCTAACTCTAAATCTTCAGCTCTTTTTTTCTTTCTTTTTCTGATGGCCCTGGGTAACAAATATAGTCTACTGCAGGCCAAGCTTCCCTGCAGGTGCAGATGGGGGGCACGAGGAGAAATAAAACTTATTTTTAAGGTCAGGTGAAATTTCTACCAGATAGAAGGCTTTAGACATATAGCAGTGAGACCCTGGAATCCATTATTGAATCCGTAATCTGACGGATGATCGGGTGAGAAACAGGGTCACCTCTTCCAGATGCACCTTCAGGGCCATCACTGAAAATGGCGTTCTGGAAACGAAACAGCCTTTTAGTGAAGAATTCAGGGTCGCAGAAGCTAATGTCCCCTCAGTGACCCCTCAGTGACCGGATTCTGCTCTAGGCCCAGGTCTTCCAAGGCGCACACATGGGACTCTGAGGAAACATTTCTTCCTCCCAATGCCATTCACCTCGTCTAGATCATGCACTTTCAACGGCCTTCCAACCACGGCCAAGAATCCCTACGGCCCAGCACCTCTGAGACAAAGGGACCTCAGTGATCTCGAGCAGCGCTTTTCCCTGGCAGGAACACCACCAGTGGCTGAAGGTGCATCGATACCTATTAGTGTCTACATTGGATGCTAAGGCAACAAGACTGACATCAATATATCATCGGAATACCACCGGTTGATGGTAAATCAACCCGCTTCTCCAACCTCACATGAACACTGGATGCATTTTCAGTGGTAAAACTGTGTTTTAATTACAAAGATACATGAGAAGATTTCCATTGGAATAAATAAAACCAGACAATGGAAAAGTAGTGCCCATAGTCAAAGGGAAAGTCTTCATTCCTCTTTCTCCAGAGGTAGCTGCCGGCCTGAATGCGACGTGTCTCCTTCCAGAACTCTTCCCTCTGCAGGTACATACATGTTTGTATGTACAGGTGTATAGGTTTGGGGGCTTTTGGGGTATAAATTGAATCAGTGTTTCTTATTTTGTTTAGAATTTTGTTTCTTATTTTGCTTATTTATTAATATTCTAAAGTGCGTTTTGTAAATATTTGAACATCACCTTCCTTTTTTATAGTATTTCGCAATATGGGTGTATCTGTTTATTTAGTCATTCTGCTGTTGAATGGCAAGAGGCTCTTTACAGTTTGTCACCGTCATAAACAATGGTTCAGTGCACACACTCCTTTCTGCATCTGAGTGCACAGGTGTGAGAATTTCTCGAGGACACTAACTAGAAGTGGGATTGCTAAACTGAAAGTCATGCGTAGATAATGGGAACGTCAAAATGTGAGTTATTCCTGTTGTTTCGGTTTTGTCCTAAGGCCATACAGTCTGAGAAAAATCCAGTAGGTGATAGTTAACCATCTACATGCAACATACCTATCTATTTAAGAAAAAGCTAAAGGTTCTTTAAGGCATGGTGAGATTTCTTCAGACTGAGTTATAATCCTGTGTAATGTAGAATCTCTCCTCCCGCTGGCGACTGAAGGTACTTTAATAGAACTACCCGGGACCCATGACTTTATGGTCAACTAACCTTCAACAAAACAGGAAAGAATATCCAATAGAAAAAGTCTCTTCAACAAATGGTGTTGGGAAACTGGACAGCAACATGCAAAAGAATGAACTGGACCACTTTCTTACACCAGACACAAAAATAAATTCAGAATGGTAAAAGACCTAAATGTGAGATAGGAACCCAGCGAAATCCTAGAGGAGAACACAGGCAGTAACCTCTTTGACCTTGGCCGCAGCAACTTCTTTAGACACGTCTCCAAAGGCAAGGAAAACAAAGGCAAAAATAAACTACTGGGACTTCATCAAGATGGAGAGCTTTTACACAGTGAAGGAAACAATCAATAAAACTAAAAGGCAGTTACAGAATGGGAGGAGATATTTGCAAATGACATAGCAGATCAAGGCTAGTAATCAGAATCTACAATGAATGTATCAAAACCAACAACCCCCAAAAACCCCAAAAAATCCAGCCAAGAAATGGGCAGAAGACACAAACAGACATTTCTCCAAAGAAGACCTACACATGGCCAACATGGCCAAGAAGACCTACACGGGAAAAATGCTCCACATCACTTGTCACCAGGGAAATACAAATCAAAACCACATTGAGATACCATCTCACACCAGTCAGAATGGCTTAAATTAACAACTCAGGAAACACCAGATATTGGTGGGGATGTTTGGAAAGGGGAACCCTCTAACACTGTTGTTGGGGATGCAAACTGGTGCAGCCACTGTGGAAAACAGTACAAGGGTTCCTCAAGAGGTTAAAAATAGAGCTACCCTAAGACCCAGCAATTGTAACTTGCCCAAAGGATACAAAAATGCTGATTTGAAGGAGCACATGCACCCTAATGTTTACAGCAGCACTATCAACACTGATAAAGAAGCTGTGGTGTGGGTATATATATATATGGAAAAAGAATGAAGTCTTGCCATTTGCAACAACGTGGATGGCTAGAGGGCATTATGCTAAGCAAAATAAGTGGGTCAGAGAAAGACAGACACCACATGATTTCACTTATATGTGGAATTTAAGAAACAAAACAGATGAACACAGGGGAAGGGAAGGAAAAATAAGATAAAAACAGAGTGGGAGGGGCGCCTGGGTGGCTCAGTCAGTTGAGTGCCTGACTTGATTTCAGCTCAGGTCATGATCTCAGGGTCCTGGAATCCAGCCTTGTGACGGGCTCCCTGCTCAGTGCAGAGTCTACTTGTCCTTGTCCCTCCCCTTCTACCCCCTGCTCACTTGTTCACTCTCAATCTCTATAAAATAAATAAATAAAATCTTTTAAAAAATAGGGAGGTAAAGCATAAGAGATTCTATACTTAAGAGAACAAACTGAGGGTTGTTGGATGGGAGGAGAGTGGGGGGATGGGGTAATTGGGTGATGGGCATTAAGAGGGCACTTGTTGGGATGAGCACTGGGTGTTATATGTAAGTGACGAATCACTAAATTCTGCTCCTGAAACCCATACAACCCTGTATGTCAACTAATTTGAATTTATTATTTTTTAAAGATTTTATTTATTCATCAGAGACACAGAGATTGAGAGAGAGAGAGAGAGACGGAGGCAGAGACACAGGCAGAGGGAGAAGCAGGCTCCATGCAGGGAGCCCGATGTGGGACTCGATCTAGGGTCTCCAGGATCACGCCATGGGCCAAATGCGGCGCTAAACCACTGAGCCACCCAGGCTGCCCTAACTTGAATTTAAATTTTTAAAAAATGATAAACGAACAAACAAATAAATAAAAGAACTACCCGGGGGAGCTGGGCTGTGTCCCCTAACACCCGATGTATTTATTCCTTTCCTCGACTGCCATACCAAAGTGTCACAATCTGGGTGGCTTATAATAAAAACAACAACAACAACAACAACAACAAACGTATTCTCTCCCAGTTCTAGAGGCTGGAACTCCAAAGCCAAGGTGTCATCAGGCCCATGTTCCCTTTGAAACCTCCAGGAGAGAATTCTTCATCGCCTCTTCCTAGGTTTTAGTACCTGCCGGCAATCCCTGGTGTTATCCTGACTTAGAGCTGCATCAGTGCAATCGTTCCCTCTGCTGGCATGTGGCCACCGTCCCCCTCTTACAAGGACCAGTCATGTCGGATTAGGAAGGCACCGCGCTCCAGTCTGACCTTACCTTAATCACATCCGCATGTCTCTCAAGACCCTATTTCCAAAGAAATCCACATCCTGGGATACTGGGAGGTTAAGACTTCAACATATCATTTTTGGGGACACAGCTCAGGAAGCACAAGATAAGTGGCTAGGACCACAGCTGCCTGTGGCCACAGAGGCAAAGGTCAGTGCTGAGAGCCAGTTGTGCTTTTGCCAAGTGGGTGAAGGTATGAAGGACAGGGGGCCAGGTTTTCTATAAGCTCTGTGCTGATCCCCTGGAAAGGGGTTAGCCTTGAGTCATCTTGAGTAGGATGTCAGGAGGGCTTCCGTCCACCGGTGAAGCAATCTTCACTGAAATACATCGGGGGCGCAGCCGACAGAAGCTGGGGTAGGGGTGGGGGTGGAGGAGGAGACATATCAGCAGGGGGTGAGTGACTGAGACACCTCCAGCAGGGGAACCCACCAATTCCCCGGGAAAGAAGAGGCCAGCTTTGGAAAGCTGCCACCCCTAGAGGCAGGCACGGATGACAGGTGACAACCTGATATTTCACTGTCAAGGAAATCGTTTCAGTTCTTCCTACCCTCACGCTTGTCAAGCCAACAGCAGCCCATGAGCGGGGATGGAGGGATGCCAGGAAACCTCCCGCGCCACCAGGCATCCTCCCGGTCCGAGTCTCCGTCAGGCCGGAGCGGTGGGGAGCACAGAGGTTTTACTCTGGATGAGCGTTTGGGATTTGGACATTAGGGTGGGCTTTTTGTTATCTGAGTAAGACCAGGAGAGCTATGAGATCTGCTCATGATTTTACTCAAAGGTGATGAGCCAAGAACCACAGAATGGGCCAAAGGGGAATGCTGTGAGGAAAACAGAATACTATTTTCTACTTCCTCTTTGCCAAGCTCAACTCATTTATTAAGCCAGTAACGTACATTTTAAATTTTTACAAAGACTTTCATATCGTCTTCGAAAAAGCCTGCATCAATGGCATGCTAACAATGATCGTGAGGGCACTAATTTCCCCCACATGTCCATCATTATTGATCTTTCAAAATGTGACCAGTATGATGCCCTAAAAAATATCGCCTTGATTTACCTTTTACTTCCTTGATTACCAGAGTGTTGGAACATCTTTCCCGCCTATTGATAATTTGTATTTCATCTTGTGAATTGCCTGTCTATGACATTTATCTCTTCTAGTAGTTCGTTCCTTATGTTTTCCTTGATTATTTTTACATAACCGTTAGTATGACCTGGATGATGGGGTCAATTCATAACACTGTGCATTCAGGCGCCGGGGACTACCCGCAATCCAAATGGACAAATCTGCCATCCAGCCTTCTTCCCTCGGACTTGTGTCTTAATCACTGTGGCAGCTGCTACTTTGCTTTTAAGTTCACGGGCACAATAGGTTACCAGCCACCTTTGTCCTTCACTGAAGCTCGAACACTTTAGGACGCAGGCTCCTCCCAGTTCGGCGAATCAGTGTAGTTATCACCAGCCCTGAGGAATTCCGGGAGTGGCAGGCCTCTCCAAACCCCAGAAAAGGGAGGTCATTTATAATCTTCAGGGGATGTATCTGGCTTCTCTCCAGGGCGTTACAAAGGGAGGCAGAAGCAGCAGGAAATAGAGCAAAGGAAGAAACTTCAGAGCCTGACCTTCCGCTTGGAAGTTCCCTCACTCGTGTCAAAATCAAATCTCCGCCTGTAAATCTAGTGGTCACATCGCACTTAGTCCACTTCCCATCCTTCCACAGGTGAGCTTTGCCAAAAGAAGAGTGACACATCTATGGGTTCATCAAAGACCAGTGAGAGAAAAGCAATGTGAAGGGGTGATGGTAGGGTGCAATCGGAGAGCCCGGGGCCCGTGTGGCATATTCTGCATGCAGGGGGGCCCTGGGTCTCAAGGATGGAGCACGCCTGCCGTGGAGAGAGTCAGTTCTTGGGGCGCCTCGGTGGCTCGGTGGGTTGAGTGTCCCACCCTTGGTTTCAGCTCAGGTCATGATCTCAAGGTTGTGAGATCAAGGCTTTGCGCACAGCGGGGAGTCTGCTTGAGATTCTCTCCCTCTCGCCCTGCCCTTCCCCACCTGCTTGGGCATGCCCTCTCGCCCCCCCTCCCTCTGTCTCTCAAAGAAAGGAGTGGGTTCCTGCTGTTGGCTAAAACAAGAGGCAGCTTGCACCAAGATCAAGTGCACCCTTACCAAGAAGCCTCCCCCGCCCCACCCAGCTGCACCCACGTACAGTCTTGCTTGTCCTCCTCGGTCTTGTAGGAATGGAGGGTGTCCACGAGCCGACTGGGCAGCAGCCTGTGGAGGCTGGACAAGGTCTCAAAGGTGTGACGGAGAACCTCAGGCTGCGCGTAGCTCTTCGGGGTCCCGGGTTTGCCCAGGAGGGGAAGTTCCAGCGTGGAAGGGGGGCGGGCGGCTGGCCCCGGGGGGACCCGCCTTGGCAGCGGGGAGGGCGCACCGGGCATCGGAGGCGGAGCCGGGCGCAGGGGCCCCGCGGACCGCGCGTGCAGGGGGGGCCTGGAACGCGCCCCTGGCGAGGGTCACAATGGCCCGAGCTAGAACCCCGCGCTCGCCCGCTCTTCAGCCCAGAGGAAGCCAGCCCGTCGGAAATAGCCGGCCCAGCCTTCCGGGGACCGCGGGCAGAAACGGGGGGCCCTGCTCCCCTCGAGGGCAGGGGGGGCCCGGGGCGCTCCCAGCCGGGAGCAGGGCCGCGCAGGCCTGTGGCCCGGGGACCCCCCGACGTGGGCACAGCGCCCGGGCAATGCCGTCGGGGGCGCGGGACATGGCCAGGCTGACCCAGGTGAGGGGCGCACCTGCTGCTGGTCTTTCTCCGTCTCACAAAGCGGGATTCCGCCCTATCCGCAGGAGCCCTTCTTGGCGGTGGACCTGGTGACATCACTGTAAGCCACCCCCGTGCTAGTGCAGGCCTGAGCAAGATAGAAGGTGTGAGAACAGCCCCCAGACTGGGGGCAAAAGCACAGATAATAAGAAGCCAGGCCCCCCCTCCCGGCTCTACCCCCAGGACTGGTGCTCCTCACTCCGCCAAGCCCTGGGAGGCAGGAGGAGCAGGGGTAGGGAGGTGTGGGACCAGCTGTCTGCCAGCCTTAACACCCTGGGCCAAGGGGGTCCCCTGGGGGTGGGGTGGGGGGGTGGCTCAGTGGATTAGGGCTGGTCCTTGGCCCAGGGCGTGACCCCGGAGTCCCTGGATCGAGTCCCACATCCAGCTCCCTGCGTGGAGCCTGCTTCTCCCTCTGCCTGGGTCTCTGCCTCTCTGTGTGTCTCATGAATAAATAAATATTAAAAAAAGAACCCCACCCTTGGCCAAGACTATATGCACATGCTGGTGACCTCATTCGACACGTCGGCATCCAGAGCAGAAGATACAAACTTTTGCTTCTTAATTTGCAAACTAATTTTTCAATGTGCACACTTAAAAAGTGAGCCTTTTAAAAATAAACAAAAAAGGTATAGTTTAAATACAAATGTATGTAAAAAGACGTTCTAGAATCAGAGCCACTCAAGTATAATGGGATTCTTATCCTTTCATGGGTGTTTTTGGAAAGGGAAGGGAACTGGTGGAGTGAGGGGAGTAGAATAGGGAGTGAGGGGGAGACTTCTTTCTTCCAGGGGAACTTGAGTGTATTACTCTAAATATTTACACAATCCAAAAAGAACAAACCATGTTTTAAGCCATTGCACGGTCCAAGGAAGCGATATATTAAAATGGATCCTTTTTTTTTTTAAGATTTTATGTATTTATTAATGAGAGACACAGAGAGAGAGGCAGAGACACAGGCAGAGGGAGAAGCAGGCTCCACGCAGGGAGCCCGATGCGGGACTCGATCCCAGGACCCCGGGGTCATGCCCTGAGCCAAAGGCAGACACTCAACCGCTGAGCCACACAGTATCCCAAAACTGATCCTTTATACTGCATGTAAATGGATATATGTAATATTTATATATATCACATACACAATCAACTATATATATCAATATATATCAATTTACATGCAGTATAAAGGATCAATTATAATAGCATTATATATATATATATGTATGACGCTATTGTAATACCATTGACTATGTTCCTTATACTGTACCCTTCATCCCCGCCATATGTGCATAATCATTGCTCTAAATAGCAACTGATAGAGTGTTTCTACTTATCTGGCTTATTGACCTTGGCTGAAATCAGAAGTAGGTCACAATTATGATATTTTATTGTCAAATACACTGATGGATAAATGTCCTTTGCAATGGATAAGAGTCCTTCGAGGAATCCATCTCCTACCTTGTCTCTAATTGTGCTGTAGTGGGAAGAACACGGTTCAGGACCAGTTGGCAGTAGGCTGGCGACCCCCTGGGGCTAACTAGTCGTTAACTAGTCCTGTGATCTTGCTCTCAGCCCCCCAGGTCTCAGCCTACAAAACTAAGGTTCTCTGACAAAACGGATCCTTCTCTTGTGTATCTTGCTTGGAATTCAGCTTACTTCCAATTCTGTTCTCCCACAATCAATACATTTACGTTTCCACAATCACATTACTAATATATTATTATTTTTCAAAGAAAAGATGAGACAATTCTCCTAAGCCAGCGGAGGCTCCCTTTCTTAGGGTGACAGTGAGTTGCTACGAAGAGCCAGGCGCGCCCCTTAGGTAGCAGCACTGCGTTATTAGCTAAATTGATCCCACAGCACAGCACCTGCAGGACACCGGGTTGTTTTTCTAGCTCGGCTGATGTCTTATTCATGGCTTTTAGGTAAACAGCAATTCCTTTTTTTGTCCCAAAGAGGGCTGTTGTGTCTCCAGAACACTTTCCCCTTCCCCTGGGCCACGGTGGATGTGATAAGATCAGCTGGCTTCCAGAAGAGAAAGTATTCAGTAATGTTCAAAGGGAAAAGATCATCTCCAAGTTTCTTAAAGAAAGCGTTCTAAAGAGAGTGTTCCGATCAAAGCAGATGAGGTGGGACAGTTCCGACCGCCAGAAAGAAGGCCCAGGCTACAGCTTTCCTGGCACCAGAAAGTAAGTCCCAATCCTGAAACTTAAAAATCCCAAGTACACTGGTGATGTAAGGCTAAGAAAACAAAACTGCAGGGCATAGGCATCTAGGAGGAAGCCACGGGGCTCTTCAAACTGCAGAAATCAAGTTCTACAGAAAAAATCTAAATATAGGTAGATATTTACGATTGAGAATTTATTCAAAAGTACTGGCACTTGATGGGATAAGCACTGGGTGTTATGCTATATGTTGGCAAATCGACCTTCAATACAAAAAATAAAACAAACAAAAGTACTGGCTGCAACTTACGCAGGTGTAGAGTTTCCCGATGTGTGTGTTTCTCTTCTGGAAATCTATTCCTATGCATCACCACCACATTCATTCTAGGAATAAACAGATTTTCAACAAGATTTGGTACATTGTTTTGCATCTAAATGGTGGTCTCGCAAATGAGGGAGCAAAGTGTTCAAGGTTAATTTTTAAAAGAGAAACACAATTTCTAACTTTAAAAAATATTTGTATATGTATTTCCTAAAAAAGAATTATACAAACCCAAGAAAGTTGGGACATTTAAGGTAAATGCGTACAGAAATGGAGTCCTACGTCAGAGATAGATATAACTGGCTGTTGAGAGCAAAGTAGAAGAAGTAGATAGAAGCTGGAAAAAAGGGAAGCACAGGACTAGTTACCTAACCTTACGCGAAATACAAATCACCCATAATTGAACTGAAATGTTTCCCACTGAATAGACTCTTAATCACTTGAGAACAAAAAGGCATGCTATTAATTAGAAAATATGCCCCTGACTTTCTGAAAATATTTACATAATTACACCGAACAAGATTCCATCACAGTAGATAGCCAGCTGCGACGTTGACAGTACAGCAGGGACAAATAGAGGGAGGTGGAGGCAAATGCACGGGTAATATAAAAATATGAAAGTTTTTGAAAGAGGTGGAGCGGAATAGAAGGATTTCCCCGCAGAATAATTAGAAGCTAAGGAGTGTCGTCACTGACATTTCTTTGCATCACCCTGGACCACAAAAAGGAATGGGTAATCAAAGTGCTTTCCAAAAGAGTTTTCTGTTGGTCCAAGTTGTCACCTGTCTCCAAGTGGGAGAAATGAGGTGAGCGGCAAGGCCGGCTTACCTGCCCAGTGATTGGCTCAAGGCTTTCCTTCTTTCCACCAATTCAGACCACCTCCCTCGTAATGAATGTAAGAGCCTGTTAAATGCCACGAGACAGAGGACTCGACCTCTCCTTCCTTCACTGGGTTAGCTAACGAGGCAGAGGTTTAAAATATGGCAAGTCTGATGCTACCACTAAAAGCTGAATTCCAAAATAAATAAATAAATAAAAAATAAAAGCTGAATTCCCGGAGTGGCCCTGGGATGGCCTGTATGGTACGTGCATTCTGTTGGGCCAAGGGTTGACGGTAGAGCTGCACCGAGCCACTGTGGGAAACAGGCCTCTATCCAATGACCCTCCTCATGGCTGCGTGAGAGCCAGCTCAGACTCAAGGGTTTGGAGTGAGTAGGATTCTCTTAGTTGCTCACCTTATATTTCCCACGACCACCACATCTCACGCTTGCCTTTCCTCTCTCTCAGCCTTGTCTCCTTACCGCCCGGGCTGGGTGCTCTCCCGTAGAAAGTGTAAGGGGCCAAAGCTGTCACTAGAGCTTTCACCTGCAATACTAACAACTTTATCAATTCAACAAGTGATTGGGGGTGGGGGGCATGATTTTTATGCTGACATCAAAGCATTCAAAAAGTCTCCAGAAAAAGGAGGATGAGCCAAATTGATAAAGTTTTTAGGAATATGTCCTGTCAAGAAAAAAAAAGAGAGAGAGAGAGATTCTTAGAGGATGTATTTATGGATGACAAATCTCAGAGAGACTTTAAGAGATGAAGGATCAGCTCATGTTCTGAAACAAAAGGAAAACATGGAAACCAACATAAAGCAAGGAAGACGGGAGGTACGGAAGCTAAATAAATGTCATGCATGCATGCACACACATATGCACACCTCTTTTTTTGTCTCCTATCTAGAGAACATAAAAGGACAAAATATTTCCCAGCTAGATATACTTGTAGAAAGTGTTAGCTGGGAGTACACGGACCCCAATACTTACCCAATTCACTGCTTTTCAAGTATCTGTAAGCTGGGAAAACAATATATTGAAGGCTCAGGTTGCTCATTTATGAAACAGGAATAGCTAGTAGGAACCCCTTTCATTGGGTTAAAAATATAATATTAGTTGATCCAAATAAAACGTTCAGCATTATGCCTGCCACATGGTAATCGTATCATAGCAAATGTTGTTCCTAGCAAATGTTATTTTTTTAGAATAATTAAATGAATTCAAATACTTCTTGAGTACCTACTATATGCCAGGTAGCAGGCTAGATAAAATAAGGCCAGGTCTTGCCTTTAAGATACTGGAAAAGATAGAGAGTGAGATACGCTAAGTGAATAATCATAATGTAACAGTGAGAAGGGAATCATAAACAAATGACTCATAATAACCTGATTGAGGAATCTTGGAAGAGGTTGTGATCTATTCTTCCCTGACCCATCGGGGAAGATGATTTGTGAGGTAGATTTATAAGGATAGGACTTAGCTGGTAAAAGGAGGGAGGAGGGAAAATAAAAAAGGGGAGCTATTATAGGAAAAGAAAAATGATGTATGTGCTGGAGGAGAGAGAGTGTTTAGAAACGTTGCAAAATGTCTGAGGTGTTGGACAGGAAAGCACTGGAACTGATAAGCGGACCCTTAAAGCCTGGCTACAGAATTCGGGCCTCCTTCTTTGGCATTGGGAGGGGGTTAGAGCCGGTCTGCGTGTTTTATCAGCAGAAGGGAAAACAGTCTGAAGGAGGAGAGGGCCTAGGAGGAGGCCTCCCGGGAGGCTGATGCTAATCTTATATTCATCCTCCTATATTTACTGTGCACCTACATGTGCCTAGAACAGCTTGAAGGGGGCAGCGTGTACCAGTGAATGAGACCGCCAAGGCCACTGCCCTCACAGAGTTTTATACACTACTGGGAAGAAATGGGCGATAGAAAAGCAAACACGGTTAACAAGACTGTGAGGAGGCCGGAGAACACGTTGAAGCAGGGTGTTATGAAATGGAGTCAAGTAGGCAGGAAGGCTGCTTGGAAGTTGAGTCAGAGAAGGCCTCGCTGGGAGGCAAACAGAAATGCAGAGGAAGGAGACAGATACCTCTGGGCAGGGGATGGGGGTGGGAGATCCGAGCGCTGACCAACCCTTTAAACTGTATGGGACCTGTGGGACCTATGGTTTAACGTGGGCATTTTTCTGGGAAGACTCTCAGAGGAATGTTGCATCTCTTCCCCCCATTTGTTAAGAACCAGCACGTTGAGAGGCTTAATGAAACATTTTGGGGCTCGAATCTACAGTTGGGTGTTCAACCCAACAGAACGCAATAGCATCATCCCCAAAGGACTGCAGCCGTGTCTTCCTCAGATGTCTGTGCTTTATTATAAAGGGCGTCTCTGAAACTTTTAGTATTTGTTTACTTACACACACGTACCAGACATGTTCACTTACATATTTACGTGTTATATATGTATGTACGTAATAATGCCTATATAATAGTATATCCATGCAGATGTGTGGCTATATATGTGTGGATATATATGGAGATATGCCAACGCACACACATATTTTGGGGAACTGAACTAAGACATAGGCATTTGAGGGGCAAAACTGGCCTCCTCTGTCAGCTAAGTATATCCCAGATAGAAAAAAGTAATAATACTAAAAAAAAAAGTAATAATACTGAGCTTTTGTTTTTCCCACTGTAAGACCAATAACTGATGTGGCCCAACCAGGGGTGGGCTTGCCCTCGGCTGGGGAGCCTTCCGTCTTCTATTCTGGCTGTTTCACTATTCTATACCCCAAGCGCAGCCAACTGTCTGCGGCTCTGCAGGTGATAGCCCCGCTGGTTAGGTCCCCTGCGGACCGGGCCCCCGCCTCGCTGCCACAGGTGCTTGCAGGGCTCTCATCCCAGGGTCAGCGTCGGGGACAGGGTTCGGCCACAGTCAAGGGAAGGCCGCGGATGGAAGGCCGTGGAAGCAGGACCCCAGCCCTGACCCCAGCCCCCTGCCTCACTGCTGCGGGTGCTCCCAGTGCTCTCAGCCCGGGATCAGGGTCGGGGTCAGGGTTAGGCCGTGGTCAAGGGAAGGCCGCGGAGGGAAGGCCGCGGAAGAAGGGCCGCGGAAAGAGAACTGCAGCCCTGACCCCAGCCCCCGCCTCACTGCCGCAGGTGCTCCCAGTGCTCTCAGCCCGGGGTCAGGGTCGGGCGCAGGGTTAGGCCGTGGTCAAGGGAAGGCCGCGGAGGGAAGGCCGCGGAAGAAGGGCCGCGGAAAGAGAACTGCAGCCCTGACCCCAGCCCCCGCCTCGCTGCCGCAGGTGCTCCCAGTGCTCTCAGCCCGGGGTCAGGGTTGGGGTCAGGGTCAGGCCGCGGCCCGAGGGAAGGCCGCGGAGGGAAGGCCGCGGAAGAAGGGCCGCGGAAAGAGAACTGCAGCCCCGACCCCAGCCCCCCGCCTCACTGCCGCAGGTGCTCCCAGTGCTCTCAGCCCCGGGTCAGGGTCGGGCGCAGGGTTAGGCCGCGGCCCGAGGGAAGGCCGCGGAAGGAGGGCCGCAGCCCTGACCCCTGCCCGCTGAGCCCCCGGACGCCCCCCACCCCCCGCGATGGCCGAGCGCGCCGGGCCGCCCCCGGGGAGGCTCGAAGGGGGGGCGCGGGGGCTCCCGGCCCGGCTCCGCGCCCTGCCCCCGAGGCGCCGGCCGAGCCCGGACGACCTGTGGCCGCGGTGGAACCGGGGGGCGTCCTTGGGGTCGCTGCCCCCGCCCCGGCCGGCCCCCGTGGTGCGCAGGCCGCCCGCCGCCCTGGGGCCCGTGCTCCCGGCCGCCCGCCGCCCGCTGCCCTCCCTGTCCTCCCGCCGCAGGAAGCCCGAGGCCGCGGGGGCGCCCGCCCAGCCGTTCGCGCCGCCTGCGGAGGGGCCCGGGGCTCGGGGCGGCGGCCGCGGAGACGACGGCGAGGACCACACGTGGGCCTGCGGCGCCCTGGGGTAAGAGGGGGCCCCTGCACCTGCGCTCCCGGCGGGGGGGGGGGCGGCCGAGCTACAGATTCCGGGGTCCCCCGGCGCAGCGGGGCTCCCCTCCCGCCCCGGCCGCGGCCTCCCCGGGGGGCGCCCAGCCCTGCCCCTTGGCCCCGCGGCCTCCCAGCAGCCCGCGCCCCTCCTCCCTTCCCGCCCCAGGGCCTGGCATCCACAGGTGACCAGTACCCCCCCTTTTTATTGCTATTCTATTTATTTATCCACGAGACACAGACACAGAGAGGCAGAGACACAGAGGAGGGAGAAGCAAGCCCCATGCAGGGACCCCGAGGCGGGACGCGATCCCGGGACTCCGGGGTCACGCCCTGGGCCCAAGGCAGCCCTGGATCAGTACCTCTTGATCCAAAACTTCCCTGAACCGTATTTTCTACAGATTTCTTCAGGGCACACCTCTCCCCCCAGGAGCCCATACACTGTAAAGGAGTCACGGATACTCTGGCTCCGCGGGGCTGTCCTGCGTGACTCTTTCCAGAGAGTCCTGCGTTGACCCGCAGCCCATCCTACCTGTTAGCCGGGGACTCCCTGATGCTCCGGCCTCACACAGGTGCCCGGAGAGTTAGTGTTTGGGCCTCTGGGCCGTCGGTGTCCCCAGCCCGCGCCCCAGGTGCTGTTCTGCCCCCAGGTCAGGCCCGTTTTCACACCCCGGGAGCTGGTGTGAATGATGAAAAGCAGACATCATGGGCCTGGTTTCTAAGTTCCAGAGAATTGGTCATGTTGGTTCTAATCTGCATTTCACTTCTTTGATAGTGTCTCCGTCCCCCCCCCCCCCACACACGGCCTTAGTATCCTAAGCTTCTGTGGGTCAGGCCCTCCAGTTTGCCTTTGTGGGAGCTTTGGGGCGCCTTGGGCCTTGTGGGGCCCATCTCCACCGTGCGGGCCTGGCCCTCGCAGCCCCCCTGCCCCAAGCACCTTGGGACCTCTGGGTGCAGAGCCAGGCTCCGGCTTTTCAGCGGCCCCTGAGACACCTTACCCGCCGTGTGCCTGTCCCACCACCTGTGTAGGATTCTAAGGAAACAGAGGAGCAAAATGGGGAGAAGAAGCAGTGAGAGCGGCGGCAGCAGCCCTGGCGCCCCCGACACCCCTCCCCAGGTAGGGCGGTGCTACCCTGGGCGGCTGGGCGCCCTCACCCCAGCTGAGCTCCCCCCACCCTGCCCCAATCCCTGCACCCAGTGTCCTCGTGGCGCATTGGGAAGAGCCAGTGGGCCGTCTTTCTGCTTCTTTTAACAAAGGGAAAAGTCAGCCAGCAGCTCCCCAAAGCTCCAACGCGGTTCTTGCAGCAGCTGGATTTGGGGAGAGGCCGTGCCTGGCTCCTCGGGCCGCGCCCACCTTTCCTCATTCCCTCACACGCACCCTGGGAAGACAGGGTAAGGGGGTGGGCTGTGGGCAGCAGCAGTTCCCAGGACCTCCAGGGGGGCCACAGCACGCCTTCCCAGTTGACCCAGTTCTTGCTGTGTGACCTCAGCTGCGGTTTCCCTTCACTGTGTCCCCCCAAGAATCTTCCCGCCACAAGCTGTTTTGCCCATTAGGGGACTAGGATCCCAGAGCTGAAAGAAGCCTAATCCTCTGTCAGGGAGGTTTTTAAAAATCCAAATAACTGAGACTCACCTTCATCCCCATGGAGTCAGAACTTGTCATTCCTCCCCCCTCCCAAGAATCATTATTTTTAAAAGATGTATTTAATTTAGGGAGAGAGCTCATGCACCTGTGTGCAGGGGAGGGGCAGGCGGAGAGAGTCTCAAGCAGACTCCTCACCTGGGACTTGATCCCATGACCTTAAGATCATGACCTGAGCCAAAATCAAGAGTCAGATGCTTAACCGACTGAGCCACCCAGGCGCCCCTCCAGTGTTTTATGTATGTATGTATGTATGTATGTATGGGATTTAAAAAAAAGATTTTATTTATTCATTCATTCATGAGAGACACAGAGAGAAGCAGAGACACAGGCAGAGGGAGCAGCAGGCTCCTTGTGGGACTCGATCCTGGGACCCCGGGGTCACACCCTGAGCGGAAGGCAGATGCTCAACCCCTGAGCCACCCAAGGCGTCCCTCAAGTATTATTTTTAAAACACTCCCTAGGTGAGGCTCATGCAGAGACTGGCCATAAGTCCATGTTGTCTGGGGGAGCAGGGAATTCACCTCCAGAGAAGATGACCTGCAGCCGCCCTTCCGATGTTCAACTACCCTTCCCACCAGGGGATAGTTTTCTCATGGGCCGGTTATGTCCTCATACTATCCTCAAGCTTAACCTGCTTAATCTCCCTGTTCCTCCTTTCGTTTGGGGTGATACCTAACATTTTAGTTGTGTATTGCTTAGAGTTTAATTTACAAAGGATTTTCTCTTTTGAGATAGAAAACAAACTGAGTTCACTCCTTAAAAATTACTTTAAAAAAAATGAACTCCTCACCTCTTCACGTTCCCTATTACAGGGTAGATTGCTACAGTCCTCTCCTGTACACGCCCCACATTTCCTTCCCACAGCACCCAGCACGTGCCTGGAACATAAATAGTACATATTAGGGCCTTTCCCTATTCATTTTTTGGCTTGCTTTTGAACATTTCCAAAGTGGTTTTCAACATCCGGAGTCTAGAATGAGTAGCGGACTGGTCAGTGTTGAGTACAATGTGCAGATTAGAGAATTTTCATTGGCGGATGGAAAGATTTCATAGGCTATCAGATGTGGTGCTCAGATACAGAAAACTTGGTGAATGTGCCATTGTGCGCCAGGCACACACTGAACTGGATATTTTTATTATAGTATTTTTTTAAGATTTTTTTTTTTAATTCATGAGAGACAGAGAGAGAGAGAGAGAGGCAGAGACACAGGCAGAGGGAGCAGGCTCCATGCAGGGAGCTCGATGTGGGACTCGATCCCGGGTCTCCAGGATCCCACACTGGGCTGAAGGCGGCACTAACCGCTGAGCCACCCGGGCTGCCCTATTTTATTATAGTTTTAAAATCAATTTTGAAAACCTGTGTGTCTTTACCTTTAATAAAATAAGAACGAAACCATAAGTTAATGTAAAAGCCTTTCTATCTCCTACTAGGTGTTACCAAGCTGGTAATAGTTTGAAAAGAGAACAGTGCATGCTTCTCAAAAATGCTGTTAGTGTCCTTATAAGAGGGAGAATGGGTCATGAAACTTTATGCCTTTCTCACACTTTAGCCACAGACATGAAAAATTATGTACTTGAGCTTTTAAAGTGTTCTTAATGTTAAGTTTATCCTAAAACAAATATTGTTTTAGAACTTGTCTCACTGGAATTTGGATTCGGAAGTACCTGCTCCTGAAAATAAAAATCTCCCACCTGGAAAGGATAGTGCAGCAGGTGGTAAGAAATCCTAGACGTGTGTATTTATATTTATACATGTTGCAAATCTATATTCATATTTATGATATCAATGGCCACTCATATTGAAGGGGGTTTGTTTTTAATACAACCAGTTTTGTGTAACTATTAATTGTCGTTTTTTTCCATACACATTCTTTCAGGCAAAATTAACAAGGTAAGGATAAATGTTTGGTTTTAAATCGTTCACAAAACATTATTTTAAAACTATACGTTCATTAAAAAATTTTTTCTTTCTTTAAAAATTTCAATTTCATTTCTGTAGAGTTCTTCAAACAAGTCAAAGCTTTTTCTGTTCTGCAGGGCTGCAAACTGGTCATTAAGTTAATATATATTTTATCATATATTTTGCTCAGTGTGCCAGTACCAGAAGTGGAAACTAACGTTGCGTGACTATAGTGTTTTGTAGTCACTACCAAAGGAGAAGTAGTCTCAGCTCTTAAGATATACTGAAGCCGTTAAAATAGTTACTATTTTGTTTTGAAGTAGTGAGGAAATTAATCTTTCATCTACTTTTTTTGGATCGAAATATAAAACACTTAACTGTTGGTAAAATAAAGTTAATCTTAATGATATTCGAAGCTCATTAGTTAACACTCCTGGTATTTGTAAGAGATTATGCTAAGTTGCTGCTGAAGTCAGTAAAAACAAATGATATCTGTATGTATAAAAGGGAGTATTTTATGACTTTATATTTCTTGGTTAGTACAAGAACTGTATATTCTTAGAACAATAACAGGAAATAGGGATGAATTGTGTTTAAAAGTCTTCTGCTGCTTTATAGAACCATTTGGAAATTCCAATAGATCAACTGATGCTAGAACTTAATTCGTCAGAGCATGCTCACAAAAGAACGCAGGTGAGATTTTATTCATCATACCCAAAGCATTTTTCTTGAAAATGCATGCAGTTACTAAGATGTTGTCCGTGGTTTTTCTGTTATCAGAATAGTAAACAAGGGATGTTTCAGTTATGGAGTTATCCTCTTAACGAAGGAAGTACCATGGAGAACAGGTGAGAGAATATTGATTTTCATAAACCCCTAAATTAATGAAATACACTTAAATACATGAGTTAAAAAAATACTACAAAAAGATACACGCGAGTTTACTCATCTGAAATACCAGGAGAGGGATCCCTGGGTGGCGCAGTGGTTTGGCGCCTGCCTTTGGCCCAGGGCGCGATCCTGGAGACCCGGGATCGAATCCCACATCGGGCTCCCGGTGCATGGAGCCTGCTTCTCCCTCTGCCTATGTCACTGCCTCTCTCTCTCTCTCTCTCTCTCTCTCTCTCTGTGACTATCCTAAGTAAATAAAAATTAAAAAAAAAAAAAAGAAATACCAGGAGAAAAAAACAACCGGAAGAAAAAGTATTGTGTGCCACTTGTGGCAAATTATGGAAGCTCACCCTAAAACAGGAAGTGGCTGGCATACACTGAGGGCATCACTGGAATGTGAAGAATTCAGAGTTTCCTGTGCCCTTACAAGGAGAGTTTACGTGGGTAGAGTTGGAGCTTCCTGCTGAAGGGAAAAAGAAGTGTAACAGAAAAATCATTGTGCGTCGGGTAGGGATGATTTCTGTCCCTTGCATATGTGAATTCATTTAACCACCACAACGATCCTATAAGGCACTGTTGTCAGCATCCCTCTTTTACAGATGAGGACACGGAGTCAGGGTGACAAGGTATGTGACTTGCCCAAAGTCATGCAATGAGTGGATGGAAGAACCAGGCTCATGCAGTATATTGCTTCTCAGACCTTGTGTGGGTTTGATTTCTTAGTTTTTGGTTCTTAAACTTTGGTGCGTGTTAGAACCAGCTCGAACGCTTCTTACAAACAACCACAGGTTACTGCTACGTGGGGATGACATTTATTCAACACCGCGTCACTTTTACACACAGGATGTTGTTTGATGGAGCTCCTGAATCTGAACTAGAGAATTAGTTCCTCAGTTTCGTGCCCACTTTTGACAGTAGGGTGGCTCGCTGGATAGTAGCCGACTCCCCGGCTTCCCGGCTCCCCATCAGAGGGCCTTACGTCTGTGAGGCTCCCAGTAAAACTCACCTGATGCTGAAGTTTGAGGCGTGAATCCAAGAAGTGCTATGGGGACCATAAGGACTAGTGTCCTAAAGGAACGTCAGTGTGAGGGGCATAGGAAAGCCACCTTCATTAGAAAGATCTCCCCTGGGAACAAGGATTTCAAGGTAAGAGGTCAAACGAAATGAATGGAGTTTTATCACACTAACAGGGAGCAAACATAAACTGAGTCAGGAGCGGTGCAGTGGCTAGGATTACGAACCACGGTCCCACCACTCAGCTCCACCACTTAGTAGATGTGCGACCTTAACCACTCTGTGCCTCAGTTTCCTTACTCATAAAAGGTAGAAAGTAAAAGTGCCTATCTACGGGGTTGTTGTGAGGACTGAACAGTATGATGTGTTTGATAGGCATTAGTCACTACTACCGGGGAAGCCTACGTATGTTGCAGAGTTAGAAGTCATGTCAATGAAATATCCTAGGACTGAGATTTTTCTCCTCAGTAGCCATCAAGAAGCCCAGAGCATAAAATCAGTATCTTTCATCTAATGTTTTACATTTTGCGAAGTACGCTCATGTAATTGTCCTGCTTCTCAGCCCACCCCAAGGTCGGTACGATCATTACCATTCTGCTCACTGGTGGCAAAGGGGTTCAAACCTAGGTCCTCACGACCAGATTTCATGGTCTTTTCAATAAACAACATGGACTGTGTCTATTATCAATTGTAGGTTTAAAGTGACTTCCTTGTGGTTTTACAAAGTTTACAAGTTAGTTTAATATTTAGCTAAATCAATACATTTTTACTATTTTCTACAGAAATGAAAGTATTTTTCAATATCCTTTACTTTGTTGTGTTTAAACTGGCATGAGGGGCAGGCCGGGTGGGTCAGCGGTTTAGCACCACCTTCAGCCCAGAGCCTGATCCTGGAGACCCGGGATCGAGTCCCATGTCGGGCTCCCTGCATGGAGCCTGCTTCTCCCTCTGCCTGTATCTCAGCTTCTCTCTCTCCTTGTGTCTCTCTCTCATTAATATTTAAAAAAAAAACCTGGAATGAAAGGAAGCAAGAAGATAATGAGACTGTATATGTCAATTAATGCTTCAACTCTTCCAATGTCAATACTTCAAAAAGCTTGAAAAAAAATAAAATAAAAACCAGACTATAAACTCAGTATTCTATGGCATGGCTCTTTTGCAGTTTTCATTCTAATACACTACCTAGGAGCATTACTCATGAAATAAAAGAACACCATCGGATGAAAATTACTATGGGATAATTTTTTTTAATTGTATAGTTTTTTGTTTTTTTTTTTTACTATGAAATAATTTTTGGTAATCATTGTTTCTGCTTCTTTTTATGTTAGCATGACTTTTTAAAACCACAACAGCTAAAGTAGAAGGACTTCTTGAGAAACCTAATTATATCCTTAGAGTTTCCTTTTATCCAATACTGGGTGCATAAACATTTCACTATAATTTCACTTTGAGTTGGAGAGCCCGCTTCTCAGATGTCATCACTGCACGTACGATATTAATAACAGGCAAACATATAATTAGCCATTGTTAACCGGTGGCCACTCATAGATGCAGCCGGCCATTTGTGGGTATGATGACCTGGTCACCTGGGCATGCACGAAGGGATGTCCAGATAATATTCTAATCTATATTTTTTTAAAAATGTATATAGTTGTATATAATCGAGCATATTTAGAAATGAACATACATCTGTTACAGATACACAGAGGCCGTTGGAAACTAAATGTTAACCAGACTGATAATTTTGCTTACTGATTACCATTTTAACAGCATTTTAAGTCTAGTCAACAAACCATTCATTAATTAAATCATTTTTTAAAGGGATTTCAAAAAGTCTGCAGTGGAAACTGGCTTTAATGTAACCAATAATCCCCTGAGGCTCTTCACTCTGAACCACTCACTGACAAGTGCTTCAGTCGATAAGCAAGTTGATCCTTACCCAGGACTACAGATGCCGTCAGGTCTCTGCTGGCCCTATGCCGATGGAGACTTCTTTAAGGACAGAAATGAGCCTTATATTAATTTATGTTCAACTGCAGAAAACAATAGTGGTGAATCTTTATGTGCCCCAAACTGGAACTTGAAATATGGAAACAGCAGTGTGGAAGAAAACTTAACAGACGAAAGTGATTTATCTGAAAATGAAAAAGCAAACAATAGTTTGCTCAGCTATTTTAAAAAGATGGACCTGAACTTAAAGCCAGAAACAATAGTAAATGTTGAGGAATCTTTCACAGAGGAACCAAGTGAAGTATTTCCATATCCCGATTTTCTCCCTTCTCCTTTCAATACCCTGGACTTGCACAAATTAGCCCTCTCAAAATCTGAAACTTGGAAAGCGACAGTGGAACCTCCAGAAAGCTCTGTTGAACATTTGATCACTCGTTTACTGGAAATGGAAAGATTACAACATCTGACTATACAAAAAGAGAGGCCCAGACTACAAACTACCTTCTGTGCTCCTGCAGCTACTGAACGACCTTTCTCCTCCAAAGCTATCCCCAAAATGAGACAGCTCAAACTTTCGGACTCTCTGAGTCTTCAGACGACTTGTGTCAATAAAAGTCGTGAAAAAAGAAAAAGCACTTGTGGATCTTGCAAGCTTGAACAAAATGCTTCAAAATGGAATGGGAGTAATGCCGGCAAATGCAAATGGACTTCCAAACCACCATCTCTCAAAAGTTCATCCACCACCAAACAATTGGTTGCAACTTGTGATGACATTAGGAACCTCAAAAGCTCCATTTTAAATCCATGCCAAGAACTCTCAACCAAGGCCACTACTTCCCAGACAGCCCAATCATTGGTTAAAATGGTCGCAACCAGATGTCTGCCACCAAGGTCTCCGATCCCAGTTTCAGCTATACCTCTGTCTTTTCCCGAAAATCAGAGAGAAGAAATTAAGGCACCAAGGACCAAAAAGAAACCTTATCAAAAAAACATTGAATTAAACAAACCACTCTATATTCAGAAGTTAAACTGTTTATCACCTTCCTTTACAGCTAAGGATAAGTGTTCACCCATTGACCAAAAATAACTTTTCTCCTCCTCTTCTCAACGTGAGCAAGTCTTATTTCCAAGAAGCTTGGCTAAAACATAGCTCATCATTCTGAGATGCAGGTATTACAGCATGAAGAACTTGATGTGATGTGGAGTGGAACTCGTGAAAAGCACTGCTGAGATGTCTAATGTATAAATCCAAGGGCTTCCATACTGACATACTTGGCAATCTTTTGCATGTTGTGTTCCAAAGGATTGTTTCACTTAGTAAATCAGTCAAAAGAGTATTCTTTTGTTGTGATTGTTTCCCAGAATTCCATCATCAATAAATGCTGTAATCGACTTACTGCTGGTATATTTTTGTGTTCTGTGACAGTCTTAAGAGTGCAGTTACCTCTAGTAGGGACTTGCTCTTTGGGTTTTCCTGTTCTGGTGGTATCTCTTTTTCTTTACTATTTCTAAAACCCCCTTAGTCTATCACTTTGACCTATTTAGTTGACCATTAACAGCTAAAATACTTGATTTTGTTGAATTAACATGCAAGATCCTCTAGATCCTCCCATGAATCTTTAAATTTTTTTCCTTTCCCAGGTCCTTTGTCACATACATGAAAGCTAGATCAGTTCTCCCGGGACCTAAAGAGAGCTGTAGGCATGAAACAACCCTCTTCCACTCAGACCTAACAGTTTTCAGAATGTCAAAGGAAAAATAAGAAAAGGTTGCTGTCCACATAGCAGCCAGAGTCTATTGTTAATGGCACTTTCCCCCTGAAGTTCTTTGTTGCTGGAAGTCTTAGCCCTGGTTACTTCATATGCAAACAGTTAAGGCCTCTTTTTCTCTTTCTTTTTTGTATATTTTTTTTTATTGAAGTTCGATTTGCACCAAGGCTTCTTAACTCATTAAAAAGAAGTGTGTGTGTGTGTGTGTGTGTGTGTGTGTGTGTGTGTGTGTGTGGAAGGGAGAGGGTGTGAAACAAACCAGTTGAGTCGGGGCTCTGGTGCAGGCCCGCGCGCACAGAATCTGAGAGTGGGGCTCAGGGATCCGCATGATAAACCTCCTGCGTGATTTTTAATGCAGGGGGTTCTTGGATCACATTTTGAAAGATATTGTAAAGGACAAACTTGATGTAAAATGCACAGCTCAGTTTGGATGTTTGGAGGCGAGAGGATAGTATGCTTTGGTTTTTAGTGGATGATTGGCGAATTCAAATGAGTTTTCCTTAAACATTAAAAAAAAAAAAAAGACGAAAACTTCAAGCACTGCCCAAAGGAAAATGAGAAGTAAAAGGCTATCCCCACTCCCAGCCACCTGCCAAGGCATGGTCAGTATTAAATTTCGTGGATCATCCCCCCCTTCCCTCCCCCCCCCCCATCCCAGCAAGATGAAATATTCCAGATAGGGACGGAGCAGATGAATTAAAGGATGATTCAAGTCCCTGTTGAAGAGAGCAACTGCGGCTTCAGTTTCTTCTATTTTTAGTAAAAGAATAAGGCTCAAAGAGTTCTTAGAAGCAGAGGATAGAGAGAATGCTTAGTTTTTAGGTTAATTTCAAAGAATTTTCTGGAACCATACCAACACAATAGAAAATAAATGTAACTGTTCGGGACCTTATCATAGGACAGGATTTTACCTCCACCCCACAGCTGGTGTCACCATCCACAGAAACAGAGAATAGGTCACAGAACAGAATGGGCTTCTGGCTCACCACTGGTCTCCACCACCAGCCACCCTTACTCCCCTCAAAGTTCTCATGGAATCTTGAGCCTCATTCGGCAACCCTCATCCCTTCTCGTTTCTACCTTCTTTACCTGCTTGGATTTTACCCACTCACCGTCAGGGTTGTAATGATGTAATTTCCACCTGTGAAAACATCAGGAAAGGGGACATGCCTGTTCCACTGTACCCCGAACAACCATCGGCCGGCATTGGAGGCGCCCTTCAAAGTATTTGATTAAGGAAGGGGCTTGGCCCGGCCTGGAGGACAGTTAGGGGACACGGCAGCTATGAGCACTGGCCGCACAGCCAGACGGAGTTTGAACCCAGGCTCTGTCACTTGACAGCTCCGCACTAAGGCAGGCCCCTTAAGCTCAGTTCTTCACTTTCCTAATGGGTAAGGTGAGTAGAGCATCTTTTATCTCACAGAATCATGTGAGGATCAAGTGGCTGGCAAGTTAAAAAACTGATGAGGGAAACTAGGAGTGACACAGAAGGGCCACACTGAATGGAAGGAGCTGCCTCGGCACTGGAGTTAACAACTCAGATGATGAAGGTCCTGCTTCTCGCGAGGCCAGTACCAGGCATCCGGTACATGGTAGGGGGTAGTGAAGACACAATCCCGTTTTCAAGAAGACCCAGAGTGGGAGTGGACATGGGAGACGGCAAACAGGAGCTGGGGAGTATTTTAGAGGTAGAGGTAATAAAGGACCAGCAATTATGAGAAACGGATCCTTGGTACTCAAGGACTGAGGGGTGGGAGGAGATGGATTCTAGGCTTTGAGGTCTGAGAGGTAGGTAGGCCAAATTCTAACTGGAAGGATAACCAGGCTACTTTATTTAGGATGCCATTAGACCCAAGAAAAAGGAGCTACTGAAAAAAACCTATCAGAGTTTTCAATTAGTCCCAATTGTTTTAAATGTAACTATGTAAAATATGCATTAGCAGCAATGCTGACTTCAATGAGGCAAAGGTACTCATTTTAACATGATCATTAGGAAAAATAGTTGAATTTTTTTGTCTGAGCCCCTAAAATGAGGACAGAAGAGGCACATACATCGCAAGTAGACATAGCCATCTTAAGTTCATCTTGTGAAATGATGGGAGTAAAATAGGCAATATTTGGCTAAGAGAAAAACTGACCATTGGGCAAGCGGGAGCAAACTCGAAAGACTTGGCTATTTTTCAAACCCGTTCCAAGCCAACTTCCACCACTATCCTTGAAGAAACACTTGGTAGCTTCTAGCAGACACACACAAGCTGAAGTAATTCTATTTAGGCAATTCGAGTTGAATTTGGCTTCCTGGCTTGCTCATAAATTCCCCATGTTTTGGCTCTCCGGTATGGGCGCTTTTTCTTAGCTTTTTTTTGGATCTTAACCGTGGCAGATTCTTACTCATCAGTGAAAAAACATGTAAGAAAGTTCTCTTGAAAGCGTGCCATACCCCCTCCCAAACCCAATGCACCCAGCATACTACTTTCCCTAATAAAACACAAGAGCTCATGACCCTCGTCAGTTGCTTTAGACAGAGGAATACATAGTTCTCAAACCTCCGCTGGCCCACGTAGAAAACTGCAGCCAGGGCCTTGGCAAGGCGGCTGGCCAGAGCCACTGCCATTATGGCCCATTTCTTACAAAAACCAGGGCTCAACCACGAGGTGGAGAAGGTAGCATCTGCTAGGTCAGGTGTGCCCCACATAGCCAGACACTCTGGCCCTGCATCCTCCAGTCCCACTTTGTGTGTTAAGATTCATTCAATCTCCTGGCCCTTCTTAATGCTTTACATTTTAAGCTGAGGACATTTCCTTAAAAGGAAATGAGGAGTGGAGAGACGAAGGATACAGTCCAGTATTTGTCAGGCTTCCCCATCTGCAATGGACCAACTGGTTTACATCATTACAGCAAAGGGAGTCATCTCATTATTTATGTTTCTATTAGCATAATCAAATCAGAAATATATGTAACAAGAACACAAATACCATACCCTTTGGTGTGTTCTGCATGGAGTTGCTGGGAAGTATTTTAGGGTCTGTAAGGAAGATCATACCAAGTCGGCCGTTTCCTCTACACCTTTCCCCTTCACGGGTACTCACAATGCACATCAGGTATCTTCTGAGGAACTTTTAACACAAATACCTAAACTTTAACCTGGCAGCTGGCAGTCCTATTTGGGCACAGAATACCTTTCAAAGGACATCTATGAACACCAGTGAAATAGCATCTAAGAAACTTTAGGTAGGAAATGATGTTTTTAACTTAAAACTAAACATATACCAAACTACAACAAAGGAAGAATCAGGAGACAGTATGGTAACAAGAGGAATATTTTATTAGTTTTCCCAATTGGAAAACATTGGTGCTAAAATTCAAGTTACAATTCAAATGATACCATGATTAACTGGGATACATATTGAGTATTTTCAGAGACCAGCTTCCATATCTTGATCACTAAATGGAAAGATTCTTCAGAACAGTCCCTTACCCTACATACAGAAGGAGAAAAAAAAATTAAAGATGCCATGATGATATCTATCAAACTGGAAAACATTTTAAAAGTCAATTTAGCATACATTATTGACATGTAAAAAAAAAACACAAATGAATTTGTACCGAACATTTCCATAAGGAAGAAATGCCATCTAAAAAGATGATAAAACTCATGTTGAATACAGACTTGAACTAGGATACTACTACAAGAAACACTTTATGAAGCCCAGTTTCTAATCAGGTCATCATAACTAATGAAAGGAAATTATTCGAGTTTCTACTTTTTTCCTATCTCCAACATTTAAAAGGGCATTCTTTAACTACTTCTGTGATTCTGGTTTCATTTCAGAGATTCTATTTCTACCTAGCCAGCTAGCGTTACAAAATGATAAAGAACACAGAAGGAATGCAAATATGAAACAGATCTGAGAACATTACATTTCTCTGCCTCTATCACATACCATGAAACATATACATTTTTTGTATTGTAGAAATGTCCTGAGTATTTGTTTTGGAGGAAAAGGTAATTATTATAATGGAAAAAAAATTACAATACCTTAAAAAACAGTTATTTTGAAAGTAGTAGAGTGGAATGAGTTATACATTGGGGAATAAACAGGATGCTATTAATAAGGACTTAAGGGTGAATATAAATACTGGGAAGGTCTTTAAAATTTAAGACAAGATGCTTCCCTTCCTTCAAAACTTTGATACCTCATTCAACCTGATTTCTGATACCTTCAAGTATAAGGTCCATCTAAAGAATGGGGTCTACAGTGTATCTGCTTTCCGGATCTCATCCCCCAGCTACAGAAAGAACTATGTTTTTGAGGAT